TTTATTTTTGGTGCCTTCGAGTCAATGTTGACTCCTGGCAACTGCCTGGACAAGTCCCTGCAGTTTTCTTGGCAAGATTTCAGAAGTAGTTTGCCATTGCCTGCTTCATAGGGCTGAGGGAGAGTGACTGGCCTAAGCTGGCTTTGTGCCTAAGGTGGGACTCGAACTCACGGTCTCTAGCCTGGTGTCTTAACCACTACCCCAAACTCTCATGGTGACTATATTGCAACCTAAATTAGGCTTGTCTAAAAAGAGGGAAAACGCTGGAGCAGAATCAAAGGTTGACTGTATTATTAAAAAAAAAAAATCCTAGAAATTATACAATTAAATTTAGTATAGCAAAAATACAGAATACAGTAAAGTACTTTGAGAAGAAATAAAGCACATGCCACACTGATAATGGGCAGCTTGAAATTAAGTGAAGCTTCTCTGAAAATTCATGCATGTTAATAGGCAATTCAAAGAGGTTGTCTTTTGAATGCAAAGGTCAATTAGTTCCATATTTTATTCATTCTTTTATTTTTTAATTATGGAAACTTTGCACCTATTGTCATGTATAAATGATAATATAATTCCAGTTGTGCTCTTTGATTTTATTAAGAAATCATATTTTACAAGTATTTGGTAAAAGAATATTACATAAAAAGTAGAGAACACTAAGTTTTCTGATGTTGCTAACCAGGAAAATGATGAGTGACTCTAGGGTCATTTACAGAAGAAGTTACTGCTCCATTACCCAAACAAGGACTATATGAATTCAAACGTATTTTATCCCCAGCTTTTCCTTCAACAGCATTTCTGTCAATGCTATTCAAAAGAAAATAGATAACATTAAACAACTAATAATAACCCTAATGCACTGTTTTATTATTGATCTCAACAAACTGTTAAAGGATATTGTTGAGTTAACTTGAGTAAAATATCTGGGGATATCCAATTTTAGACAATTTACCAAGAGAAACCAGGTTTAAGCATTACAGCCCCAAATGCTTATCAAATACTTACCATCCCAAATTTATCAAATTTTCCATAAATGCCAAGAAGCGGGTCCTACATATTTAACTGCTACAGCAAACCCACTAACACGTGAGTTGATAGATCTAAGTCGAAATAGCTATCACCTGCTAGATTAATTTGCTTAATTTTTTTTTTTTTTTGCTCTTATCCAAACGCACCGTTGATTTTGCTGTTGATAAATTCCTTGTGTATGTTTTATACCTGGCCATTAAAGTATTGGTATTGGTATTGGTATTGGTATTGGTATCTTGTCACTA